GATGCACACATGGAAACCAGAAGACAAAGCCAGAGAGTGGGCGTTCACTCTCTCCATCCACCATGTGGGCCCTGCATATTGAATGCAGGCCTTCAGCCTTGGTGGCAAGCACCTTCTTCACCTGCTGGCATCTTGTTGGCCCTTGTTAGTCTGCTCTGATAGAGCCAGGAGGCACTGGGATGGGCTACTGTCCTGCCAGCCACAGATAGAAGTAGTGGGTGGCTTCTGGAAGGGCTAAGAACCCCACATGGTGGTGACTTGGAGGAAGACTGGATTGTCATCTAAACAGGAGCTGTGTGACTAGCCAGCAGGAAGTGGCCACTTGATCCACAGATGTTTCCTGGGCTGGGTGGAGTGGGGCGGGGGTTGGGGGAGTAGCGCTGAAGCCCAGGACTCTTTTCTCCCATCCTTGGCCCAGTTCTTTGTGAGGCATTTTGGAGAGAGAGACCTAGGCAGGATACCCATATCTCCTGAGTGCACACAGGGACCGTCCATGGGCTCTGCTGAGCAAGCAGATCCCAATGGGTCTATGCGGGTGGGAGCTCTGCTATAGGATTATCTTCCCAAAGGTACAGTTGCTCTCCACTAGGGCTCCGGAAGCTGAGGGTGGGGTTGGCAGGGCAGGAAGTCCCAGGCTTCTGGCCAGAAAGCTTCTGATCCTGGCAGCATGTGCTGGCCGCTGCTGTATCCTCTGGTTCTGGGGCTCAGCATCAGCCTGGCGGAGGGCAACCAGACCCCCAGCGTCTACGATGATGTAGAGAGTCCTAAGGGAGGCCATGGTGAGTGACTGTGTCCCTTAAAAGGGTGGATCAGAAATGGGGCTTCTGCCGGGCAGGCTTACAGTCTTAGGTCCCTGAGCCCCATGCCTTTTGGGGCTGAGCTGTGTCCTTCCATTTACCACCCCAGGGTTCCTGAGTGCTGGAGTCGGGACGCTGAGGCACACACGATGCCTAAGACTCTCAAGGTCACTCTCCCTTCATCTTGTATTCCTAAAGGCAGGGCAGAGCAGGGCAGGGTTGACTGAGGTCCCCTCTCTCCCACAGAAGGCCCTCTGGGTCCCACAGAACTCAAAGAGTTGAAGTGCCCAGACGAGTTTCATCCACGAGGCTTCCCGGGCAAGTTCTGTGCCAACGACAGTGACACGCTGGAGCTCCCAGCCAGCTCTCAAGCACTGCTGCTGGGGTGGGTCTCCACGAGGCTGGTACCTGCCCTCTATGGGCTGGTGGTAGCCCTGGGGCTCCCTGCCAATGGGCTGGCGCTGTGGGTGCTTGCCACAAGGGTGCCACGCCTGCCATCCACCATTCTGCTCATGAACCTGGCAGTGGCTGACCTGCTGTTGGCCCTGGTGTTGCCACCACGATTGGCTTACCACTTGCGTGGCCAGCGCTGGCCATTTGGGGAGGCTGCCTGCCGGGTGGCCACAGCTGCCCTCTATGGCCACATGTATGGTTCAGTGTTGCTGCTGGCTGCAGTCAGCCTGGACAGATACCTGGCCTTGGTGCATCCTTTGCGGGCCCGGGCACTGCGTGGTCAACGCCTAACCACTGGACTCTGCTTGGTGGCCTGGCTCTCCGCAGCCACCCTGACCTTGCCTCTCACTCTGCATCGGCAGACCTTCCGATTAGCTGGCTCCGATCACATGCTGTGTCATGATGCACTGCCCCTGGCTGAGCAGATCTCCCACTGGAGACCGGCCTTCACCTGCCTGGCTGTCCTGGGCTGCTTCGTGCCACTGCTGGCTATGGGCCTGTGCTATGGGGCCACCCTTCGTGCACTGGCGGCCAATGGCCAGCGCTACAGCCATGCACTCAGACTGACAGCCCTGGTACTGTCCTCAGCAGTGGCCTCTTTCACACCTAGCAATGTGCTGCTGGTGCTGCACTATTCAAACCCAAGCCCTGAGGCCTGGGGCAATCTCTATGGAGCCTATGTGCCCAGCCTGGCACTCAGCACCCTCAACAGCTGCATAGACCCTTTCATCTACTACTATGTGTCCCACGAGTTCAGGGAGAAGGTACGGGCTATGTTGTGTCGCCAGCCAGAAGCCAGCAACTCCTCTCAGGCCTCCAGGGAGGCTGGAAGCCGAGGGACTGCCATTTGCTCCTCTACACTTCTGTGACTGGTAGCTGAGGTGGGAAGGGGCCATTCTGGCTTGACTGGATCTCCCCTTAAACTATGTCCCTCCTGAACTCTTAGGACATGACCTTATTTGGATATGCAGTTGGTGTGACCTTCATTAGTGGAGCTGAGGTCCACTGGAACTGCCGTTGTAAAAGGCCTGGGTACTACAACCTATCACTCTAGCACTAGGGGCGGTGGAGAAGAGGATCAGAAGATCAGGATTATCTTTGACTATGTAGTGAATTTGGAACTAGGCTGGGCTATGTGAGAATCCGGAGGCTGAGAGGAGTTATGAGGTCACTAGCTAGGGGATGCTGAGAAACCAGAATTGAGGCTGTTTCCTTCTTAGAGCTTCAGAGGATCCAGCCCTAGACACCCTGATTTTGTCAAGGTCAAACTTCAAACCTTTGTTCTTTGCATGTGTCTGCATATGTATATTGTATGTGCCTGTGGGTACACGAAGAGGCCAAAGAAGGATGGGTGTCTAATTCATTTCCCTCTCTACCTTTAAATTTTTTTAAAAAAGATATTTTATGTGTGCATGTTCTGCCTACATGTGTGCCTGCTGCCCTCAAAGGTCATAAGAGGGTAAGATCCCCTGGAACTGGAGTTACAGCTGGTTGTGAGGTGTCATTTGGATGCTGGAGATGGAACCCCAGTCCTCAACAAGAACAGCTGATGCTCTTAACTGCTGAGCCATCTCGATGGGCCTCCACCTTAGGTTTTGAGATTATGTTTCTCAGCAGATTGAAACTCATTGCCTGTGATTAGGTTGGTCTGCCAGCAAGTTCCCTGCATCTTCTGCCTCTGTATGCCAACCCTGGCTTTTCTATGGGTTCTGGTCCTCAAGCATGCACAGCAGGGTCTACCCACTGACCCAACTTGCCTTCTCTCTATGCTTATTTTTTTAAAGGCACATGGGTCCTTCACAGTCCTCTGCTCTTTGTCCTAAGATGCAGCAAGGGGAGAACGAGGATTCTGAGGCCCACCTGGCTTCTCAGCTCTGCTCTTGGGGTCCCTGCACTTAACAAGTTTCTCAGGGGCTGGCAAGATGGCTCAGTGGTAAAGGCTAAGGACCTGAGTTCTATTCCTTGGATTCACATGGTAGGAGAGAACCCACTCTAGCAACTTGACCTGTGACCCTCACACATGTGTTGTGGCATGCATGACAGTCCCTTATGTCCAAAATTAGTATCTTGTCTTCACCCAACCCCAAAGGTGAGATGCAGGAAGACTACTGGTGCCTCAGGGGGTGGGCAACTGTGCCACTATGTCACCTGTAGCCAGGTCCTGCATGAGAAAAAACTAGCCCTGTATTCCATTGTCTGCAGAAGGCTAAAGACTGCGGGGATGTGGGATCAGCTTGTACTTACTAGTGACCCAGTGTTCTCTACAGCAGCGGCACAGGACCTCCTCCTGGCTAGCAGGGCTGGGTTCCAGGTGTGTGGATGATGTACTTCCCAGGCTGCAGCAGTCTTGGACCTTGGTCTTTCGAGTGTGTGGGGTCTGTGAAGAGTGACCTCAGATCTGCTAGAAGGACAGCATCTTCCAGATGCCAGGAGAGATGGACTCAGGTGAGGGGTCTGCAAGTGGTCCAGCCCATAGCATTAGGTTGTAGTGCAGTATGAGCAAATCCTGCTGGGCAGACTACACTCTCTTCCCTCCTAAAACCCTCCTGCTGCCTCCCAAATGCTGGGATTGAAGGCCTGTGCCATCAAGCCTTGCCCAGTGTGCTGGATGTTTTAGGAAATTATAACTAGAAAGACCATTTGCTTCAAATAGAATTTGTTTTCTCAGTCCTTTGGATGAAAGATAGGCCTTGTACATGCTAGGCAAGCCTACTGAGCCCCGCCCCTATTTCCTTTCACATTCACTTACGAATGTATTTATCTGCTCAGTGTGCATGTATGACAGCCCAAGTGTGTAGAGCTGAGACAACTTGCAGGAGTGTGTCCTCTCCTCCACCATGTGTTGTAGGTTTCAGAGACAAAACTCAGGTCATCAGGTATGGCAGCCAGCACTTTTACCTGCTGAGCCACCTTCCTGGCCATGTACATCAGAGTGTTCAGACTTTCTCTACAGACATCTTTTTTTTTTTTTTAAAGAGATTTATTTATTATTTTACGTATATGAGTACACTGTAACTATCTTCAGACACATCAGAAGAGGGCATCGGATCCCATTACAGATGGTTGTGAGCCATCATGTGGGTGCTGGGAATTGAACTCATGACCTCTGGAAGAGCAGTCAGTGCTCTTAACCACTGAGCCATCTCTCCAGCCCCCTCTGCAGACATACTGACATCTTACTCTGCATGGGAATCCTATGGCCTCTCTACACATTGAGGGAGAGAGAAGAGAGGAGAGGAGAGGAGAGGAGAGGAGAGGAGAGGAGAGGAGAGGAGAGGAGAGGAGAGGAGAGGAGAGGAGAGGGGCAAGCAAGAAAGGTATGGTGTGGTATGTGTGTATGGCAGTTGTACCAGGATGGTTTTACAGAGACAGGTTAGGGACAGGTGAAGACAGAACGAGCCAGAGGATGAGAAGGAGCCAGAAGAACATACTGCTAAGATCAGTATGAGGCCAAGCAGAGCAATTCCATCAGAAGCAGAAAGAAGCAGAGTTGGTCAGTCAGCCTGGAAGATTAGACTGTAGGGAGGCTAGCAGCTTCTAGACACAGGCATAGGGACAGTTAGAACAGAGAAGATGATGACGAGCATTCAGTCCAAGAGGTATTGCTCTCAGGCGTTCATTTCAACCCTTCATCTGAGGAAATAAAAGTGACCTTTATATTTATTTACATGCAGCTAGGACACGGTGGGCACCTAGTATTCACTGGTGGCAGGACAGGCTGCCTGATACAATCAAGGGTCAGGCCTGCTGTCATGTCCTGTCCTGGGAAGGGCTGTGGTCCCTGTGTGCATCTGGACTACTCAAGTACCCCTGGCTGCTGGTGAGGGTGATCTCTTCCTCTTCCCAGACTTCCTGGTTCATCAAAGCTGCCTCTTTACTGGCCTGGGAGAAAAGTTCCATCACCTCGCTGACAAGTCTGTGGACAGAGAAAGGAATAGTTTTGCCTGTAGACAAAACTCTTTTATCGAGACCTTAAAAAAAAAGATTAAAAAAAAAAACCTGTGTGTGGTGCACAAAACATACAGCTTGCCTGTGGAGGTCAAAGGACAACTAACAGGGGTCTGTTCTCTCCTTCCATGTCAGTCCTGGGGACTGAACTCGACTTCAGGATTTATTTGCTGAGCCATCTCATAACCCCAAGTGCCTTTGGAAGTGAGCAAAAGTTGTAAGGCAGGGTAGACTGCTTGAATTGGCTGCAGACTTGGTGGGCAGGTGTATGTGTCCACATGTGCATGTGTGTGTCCATGTTGCTGGAGACAGATCCAGGATCTTGTGCACGCTGAGTAAGAACTCTTGACTCTGAGTTTTCTCCATTCCCAGCCCTCCCTCTATTTACTTCTTGAGAAAGCATCCAAGTTCCCCAGGCTGACCCTGAACTGATTATTCTCCTGCCTCAGCCCTCCAAGTAGCTGAGATGGCAGGCCTTTGCTGTCAGGTCTAGCAAGCAAGAGTCCTGCATATAGTCTCTCCATAATGCTAGCAGCAGCCAGCCTTGAATGCATGCCTTCATTCTGTCCCAGACTCCTGGGTATCTGGACCTCAGTGGTATGCCTTCCACACCCTCAACAGTGAGCAAAGTTTATGTGAGGACACTTTGTTGGAGCAAACCCAAGAGGTGAGCCTCAGCCCGTCACTACATGGCCATGCCTTCTATCTATCCCTTTATCCAATGGCCAGGCGTCCACATAGACTTTAGCAGGCTCTAGGTGACTGAGGGCATGAGCCACAATGTGGATGCCGGCGCATCTGCTGTACCGCTCAGGATTCAGACAAACTGTGTACTGGCCAGACAATGGGAGCAACACAAAGACCCCGCCTCCCCTGTCCATGTGAGTGATGGCTGACCTACCCTGTAGGACAGTGGTGGGTATGGCATGCTTCAGAGTCCTGCAGAGTCCTTTAGGCATCCATTTCCTTAAATGTGTTTTACATCATGAGAGCAAACAGAGCAAGATTCTTTTGGGGTGGACAAAATAGTTCAGTGGGTGAAGGTGCTAGCTGCCAATCCTGCCTGCTGACCTCATTTTGATCCCTGGGACCCACATAGTTGAAAGACAGAACAGACTCTCAAAGCTGTCCTCTGGCCTCCACACTCATGCCCTGGCATCATGTATGCGCTCAAACACCCAAAACACAAATTCCAAATTCTCTCTCTCTCTCTCTCTCTCTCTCTCTCTCTCCCTCCCTCCCTCCTTCCCTCCCTTCCTGTCTGTCTCTCTCTGTCTCTGTCTCTCTGTCTCTGTCTCTCTCTCTCTCTCTCTCACACACACACACACACACACAGAGGTATAGGCATGAGGACAAAATTGCAACCCACAATAGCTAGGGCTAGATGTGGTGGTGTATGCCTGGTGTAACAGAAGTCTGCAAGCTGAAGCAGGAGGATTGCTATAAGTTCAAAGCCAGACAGAACCAGCTTTCAACTGAGATGGGTGGGGTTCCATCCCAGCGCCCCAACAGAAGAGAAAGGAGAGGATGGAGGAGCACAACAGAGGGAGTGGGGGGAGGTTAGAGAGGGAGGCCAGCCCCACACCTGCCGAGCTCCAGGTCTTTCTCAGCAACCAAGCCCTTCAGTTCCTTCAGCCAACAATTCAGCTGTGCACTGGCTCCAGGCTGCTGTGTGCTGGCTCCCTGCACCTGTACACTGGCTTCTGGGGAGCAGATGCTCAGATCACCCAGGAGCTGCAGGGTGGTCCTCAGGGCTGGCTGCAGATCATCTGTGGAGACACGGGTCATTAGTAGCAGGTCTCTGGTCCCCAAAGCAACGTTTGTTTGTGCTGTGTTGGGGTTGGGATTGGAGTTGAGGTTGGTGTTGGCGGTCGGGTTGGCTCTTCTCTTACATTCCAGAGATAAAGGGGAAAGGGAGAGAGGCACTTCAGCAGAGATATCACTTGTCCCTGCAAGTGTGAATGCCAAGTCACAGGCTGGAAAGTGAATGACCAGGGCTGGGGTGCACAGGGAACACCTGCACAGATGGCTGCCCAGGAGGGCTCCCTGTGGGCCAAGGGAGGCTGCCAGTTGCTCTCCTGTTCTCTCTCATCCTCTGTTCATCTGTTGGACCTTCCTGGCCTCCTGTTACAAAGTACCAAACTTCTGGCACCTGCAACAGCTGTAGGAGGTGTTGATTCTCTGAAAGCCACCAGTGTCCCAGGCTCAAGCCTGCACTAGACATGAGGGTAAGAGAGCAGTAAGCAAACCCTATGCAGCTAAACCATCCCCCTCAGGAGGGCTGCTCCAGAGGATCACCGAAGTGCATGTAGCCCACTGGTCTACCAGTGACCTCCTCACCAACACCCCTACCCCACTGGTAGGGCCCAGGGCTCAGGACCAGTTCAGGAACCCCTTCCCCCAAGCGCCTTCCAACTGTGAGGTCAGCAGCCCGGGGACAGAATCTCTTATTCAGTTGCCAATGACCTACATACACAGGTGAGGACATGGGTTCTGATACCACACCAGAGCTGAGGCCCCGAGGATGTCACATGTGGGCCTTGGGGCTCCTTCCTGCCATGGAGATGCCTACCTAGGAGCTCCTGCCCACTTCCTTCCATGTGGACAGCCTGTGTGGGCAGCTCGTGTCGTGTGGTGTCCAGGGCTCTGCCCAGTGTCTTATATTCCTCTATGAAGCGCTCTAACACAGGCTGAAGAGGGCTCAGCACCTCAATCTGCAGGTGGGAGGGGACACATATAAGACATGACGTGCTCACCCCACAGAAAGGGACTATCTGAGAGTTGGAATAGGCCTCGATTATGCTAAGCCCTGCCCTGGCACTGCATGTCTCCAGCCTCATGGACCAGCCTGTCCAGGCAATGCCTCCACAAGATCCACCTATAAAGCATTTTCTCAATTACTGATGGGGAGGGCCCAGCCCATTGTGGGTGGTGCCATCCCTGGGCTGGTGGTCCTGGGTTCTATAAGAAAGCAGGCTGAGCAAGCCATGGGGTGCAAGCCAATAAGCAGGACTCTTTCATGGCCTCTACATCAGAGCTCCTGCCTCCAGGTCCCTGCCCTGTGTGAGTTCCTGTCCTGACCTCCTTCAGTGATGAACAGTGATGTGGGAGTGTAAGTCAGACCTTTCCCCTCCAACTTCCTAACACAGCATCATGCTGACACCAGGAGCCTGAGCAGTGGTCAGAGTACAAATGGTGACACGCTGATTCTCCCTCCCTCGTATCCCCTGGGGGCTTCAGGAGCATGCTCAGATTCACCTGGGCATCAAGGGCAGCGGCCAGCTCCTACTGTTTCTGTCGGAGAAGCAGCTGGCTTCGCAGCTCCAGTGCCTGCCTCTGCAGCCTCTCCTTCTCATGGCACATGGCTGCCAAGTCCTTCTCCGCCTTCTCCTCCAGCACAACCAGGTTGTTCTCCATCTGTGGGCACAAGACCGACTCAAGTGGGGTGGAGAGATGACAGAGACACATACAGGTGCTCATGAGGCTGAGCTATGCTCACCTTCACAGACAGCGGGGTCATCAGCAGTGTCTGCGACTCCATCATGTCTATGGTTTCCTGCAGATCCTGCAGGGGTCCAGATCTTCAGTTCCCAGTGGACCTGGCTCTACCCATGGCAGCACCCCCACTTCTGTGTGCTTTATAGGTTCCAATAGAACATGTCTGCAGGGCTGGGATGGAGCCACACTCATCTTGCCTGAGATACGATTATGGGTGCCTCTGCTCACTATGTGGGTACACTGACCTGAGCGAGGACCCATGAGCACCATAACCCTGGTCTCCACCCAGGAAGACCAGTCACATCTGCCCTTGGAGCCCTGGGTGCAGGGAGTGAGACCTGCTGTCTGTCCCCACACTCACCCGTCTCTTCTTTCGAAGGATTCCTGTTTTGTCACAGCTAGCGAAGGATGTGGACTTAGCTTTGTCTGTCATTTCCCTGTCTAGCCGGGAAGCCTTCCTGGACATGGTTTTGTCTGAAATAAAGGCCATTTTGTTTATTTTAAAAGAGTGTTTTCCAATTGGTTTTTGAAGAGGTAGCCCAGGCTGGCCTAAGACTCAATCCTCCTATCCCAGCAATGCCTAGGACCTACACCTGCAGCTGCCACCCCACCTGGGACCTGTACCTGCTGCTGCCACCCACCCGGCAGGAGATCAGACCTCAGTGTGCTGGGACCACATTGAGACTCACAATCCCAGGCTTGGTTTGCATGAAAGGTACATGCTGCTCTCAGAGTGCCTCAAACTAGCAACAGGGCCATCCAAGGTTGGGGACCATCCTTGCAAGCTTCACCCTAAAATAAAGAAAGCACTTACCATCGATGGCAGAGAGGTCTAGGTCTGGTGGATTTATGCCATGCCCTTGGTAGACTGCAGGTTGCCCGTCCCCATCACTTGGCTCTCCTCTGCCCAAAGAATGTCAAGGACAGGGCACTGAGCAGTGCGGCAGAGGCCACACCCCTTAGTACTGCTTGAGGCCGCAGGACTGTGTGCATGCTGGATTCTCATGGATCCTAAGAGCTCTGAAGATGGGTTGAAACAGTATCTGAGCCATTTCAATGAATGTATACATTTGGTTTTGGAGTGGTGCCACTTCCTTGTGACTTTTGGTGGGTAGAGCCACAGCTGTTGTTTGAGATTTTGGTGAACAGGAAGCACCTGGCCGAGTCAGCAGTATCAAAGCTGAGCAACCAATTTTTTTTTCGAGACAGGGTTTCTCTGTGTAGCCCTGGCTGTCCTGGAGCTCACTCTGTAGACCAGGCTAGCCTCGAACTCAGAAATCCGCCTGCCTCTGCCTCCCAAGTGCTGGGATTAAAGGCATGTGCCACCACTGACCAGCGCAACCAATCTTTTATATTTCATTTTGTCATTGCTGGTAGTTGTTCCTGGTGCCACAGAACATAACTGGCCTCAATCTCCCCATGTGGCCAAAGACCCTGAACTGATCTTGCCTCCACTTCCCAAGTGCTACTGGGCTGTCATTTCTGCAGAAACCCTAAGCAATAAGGCAAGCAGCAGCTCCTGGCCATTCCCTCCCTGCTCTCTGGATCTGCAAGTAGTTCTGTGGACATATGGCTGTGCCCTCAGACACTCTGCCCCATGCTCCCTTAATAAACACTTGGACCATGTCCTTTCTGACAGAGACCCCATGATGGCCAGTTTTCAATTGCTAATCTGACACAATCTATAATCACCTGGGAAGTGAGGGACTGTGGATCAGACTGGCCTATGGGCTTGACTATGTGTGGTTGTCTTCACTGCTCTGAGGGATGCCTGGCAGCCTCTTTCCTGATCCTAGAGTTCCTATATCCAGCCACTTGTCCCCCTCCACAGCCAGGCTCCACCTCTGCTCCTCTGCTCCTAGGCACTGTGCTGGCCTTTCTTCCCAGAGGCCAGGGGGATGCTGAAGGTTTTTTGTTTGTTTGTTTGTTTGTTTTGTTTTTTGTTTTTTTGTTTTTATACAGGACATATATTTTGTTAAGCAGGTGTATTAGTTAGGGGTCTCCAGAATCACAGAACTTATGAGTAGTTGTGCCCTTCCCAGCCTTGAGCAGACTGAACAAACCTTGCTTGCCACACAGGACCTTAACACCTAGGTAAATTCAGCTGCTTTGTTTACACTTGCAACTTCCTACAAGAACTTAGAACAGACTGCCCACTGGGCCTGCTTTGCAACATTATCCAGCTGAAACAAAGGATGGATTCCTTGGGCTTCCCCTATATATACTCAGTACTGAATATTAAAGTTTGAGCCTTGATCAGAGATTTGTCTTGGCTTCATTCTTTTCTCACTCCCCACCCACATGTTAGTTTATCTTTTGGAGGCTGTGTTGTAGGAGGTACATTTGAGGGATACAGCTAGGCTGAAGAGGTGTTGACCTGATGCCAACTTCACCTAGGGGTGACAGCGAACAATGGGACAGGAGAATTGCAAACAGGCCTTTGTCCGAAGTCCAAGAGCTGCTTCAGGTGAGAGGAGCAGGGTTAGGAGGTGGGGACATTATAAAATCAGGGTGCTGAGAAGCGACTATCAGTACTGCTGCTGAACCTCCTAAAGAAGGAGATGAAGAGTTAGACCTTGAATAAGAGAGAGAGAGAGAGAGAGAGAGAGAGAGAGAGAGAGAGAGAGAGAGAGGGAGAGGCGGGGGGAGAGAGAGAATAGATTCCAGAAAAGCAGTTGTCCCCTGTCCGGGATGTGTCAGCAAAAGAGAAGGAAAATGTATAGAAGCTATTTCAGAACTCTTCTGGAAACAGCAGGAAATTGGGAGATGTCCTGCTTTCTCTCCGTTTCCTATTGGAGAAATCCTTAGTTCTGGTTACCCTCTCTGTCTATTGTCTGCCTCTGGCATGCCAATCTGTCCATGTCTGTCAAAACTGACTGTTTTTTGTTAACTCTGTGTTTTTGTTTCATTGTTTGAATGATTGTTGTGCTGTGTTTCGTGTTCAAACGAAAAAAAAATGGTTAAAACTTTATCTGCTGGCTATCCACCCCTTGATTTAGTTGAACTTGTTTAAAAGACAGTCTTTATTTCCACAGCAGAAGCTGGCAAGTTACCCAAGGTAGTAGTCAAGCTCAGCTGGAGAGGCCCTGCCAGGGGCTGATTGTCTGCATAAGCTGCTCTTAAAGGAGCCAGCAGCTTTTTGGCTTCTATGGTAAGGGAGCTGATGGCTGTTTTTTCCTACAAAATCTCTCTGACAGTGTTTATTGGGTTCAGCAAGTGACAAGGTGCTTTTCTCTTGAAATTACAGCTAGAAAAAGTAAGAAAATTTTGTCTGGTTTAAATATATAAGATGTATATCTACTTCATCTTTGTTTCTGACTGATTTTAAAAGTATAAATATGCCGGGCAGTGGTGGCGCACGCCTTTAATCCCAGCACTTGGGAGGCAGAGGCAGGTGGATTTCTGAGTTCGAGGCCAGCCTGGTCTACAGAGTGAGTTCCAGGACAGCCAGGACTACACAGAGAGACCCTGTCTCGAAAAACCAAAAAAAAAAAAAAAAAAAAAAAAAAAAGTATAAATATGTTCTGCATATCTTGGTTATAGATTATTGGCTATAGGTTATTGGATATGATTAAAAATTTGTAATATTGATAACAGAAAGTTGGCTTAAAACTGGTAACTCAGGGTTGGAATCATTCTAAATAACAACACATAACATGAGCCAACCCAGGAAGACAAGTCTCTAAAGATACTTCTAAATTGGGATAATATTTTATATCCCAGAAACTAGACTCATAAAAGATAGGATTTAAAATAATGAGGTATTAAAAGCTACACACTGTCATGCATTTCATATATAAGAATTTGCACCCAAACTTTGTAACATGAAAGTAATGAACTTGGTATTGATTTTAGAATGGATTGTTTGCATTGTTAAAAATTGGTTTTGTTTTCCAAAATTATGGTTATACTCTAATATTGCAAAAGAAACTTAAAAATATAGTTAAACTGCCAGTGTTCCATTGGCTGCAGTTTGCAGTTCAATCGTAGGCTCGGGATTTTTAACTCACCCATGTTTGTAGTTGAGAAGAGGATCGAGCAGGTGGACATGAATAAAAGAGTTAAAAGCAGCTGTAGCATAGTACAGGCCTGCTTCCCCTTTTACACAAACTTATTTGGATACAGTAGTAGAAGCAAATTTAACACCCCTACCCCAAGATTGGAAAGGAGATCTCAATGGGAGTTTTATCTGGGATCAAACAAGGCCCTGATGAATAGTTTCAGGAATTTGTGGTTAGGCTGCTAAAAGCAAATGGTAGAATGTTTGTTGACCTTCAGGCAGGAGTTCCTTCTGTTACACAACTAGCTTACGAAAATGCTAATGCATACAGAGTCAAAACAGACTTATCTGAGTATATCTGCCTTTGTGCAGAAATTGGGCCCACATATAATCAGGATCTGGCGATGGTGGCTGCCTTGCAGGGGTCTACAGTATAAACAATGCTTTCACAGCACAGAGGTGGTAAGGAATATTTTTATGGGGGCATAGGCCATTTTAGGAAAGACTGTCCAAGAAATAGGGCATGGGCAGACAGTAGAACTGCTCCCCTGGAATCTGCCCTGATGCAAGAAGAGAAGTCACTGGGTCAATGAATGTAAATCTAAAACAGACAATAAAAGGCATCCTTTGCCAGGAAATGGGAGGAGGGGTTAGTCTCAGGTCCCAAAGCACCCACAACAGGCAGCTCATGGGGCCATGAAGCTGCTTCCAAACCAAGGAAATCCATTTTTAAACTTATTAGAGCAACCCCAGGAAGTTTAGGATTAGACCTCAGCTCCACCACCTGCACAGTACTGACCCCAGAAATTGGAGTTTAGACTCTTCCTACAGGCATTTTTGTCCCTTAACTTTGGAGACCTGGGGGCTACTTCTGGGTTGAAGTAGCACTATTATAAAAGGACTGCAGATTTACCCAGGAATTATAAATAATGACTATACAGGAGAAATAAAAATTAAGGCTGCTTCCCCACATGGTACTATAGCTGTGCCTGCTAATAAAAGGATTGCTTATTGTAGTTCCCTTGCATCTGCTACCCTCCAAGTTTCTAAAAGGGAGAGAGGACAAGGTGGTTTTGGTTCCTCTGATGTGTACTGGGTCCAACTATTACTAATAAGAGACCAACACTTAAGTTGCAAATTGAAGGAAAAGGTTTTAAAGGACTACTAGATACTGGGGCTGATGTAACAACTAGTAGAGGGCAGGATTGGTCATCAGCTTGGTCCCCTTCAGATATTTTAACTCACCTCCAAGGGATTGGTTATTCCAATAATCCAAAACAAAATTTCAAACTTAAGATTTATGGAAGGTTAATGAAACTATGGAGCTTATGGGAGTATTACAACCTGGCTTACCTACTCTAGCTGCCATTCCAAAAAATATGTATAAAATTATTATTGATTTAAAAGATTATTTTATACTATTTCTTTGCATGTTGATGATTGTAAAAGGTTTGCATTTAGCATGT